GCCTACGGCACGACACGAACTGCCTCAGGTGGGTGCCCTGGGATGGAGCTTCCGAGCGAAGCCAATGAGTCAGCTGCCGGCCAAGGACACTCGCTGTTTTTCCAGACTCTGAGAGCCACCTCCTGACATTTTGTGCCATTATAAGCAGTGACTTAAGCATCTGGATAGAGGATACAAGGGGAATGCAGACAGCCAGGGCCGGGACAGGGCTGCGAGCTGGGGGTGGCAAGGATGGTAAACATTCCCAGCTCCAGTCAGCGTCTCCCTGGGGTGGGGGGGCTCGGTGAGCAAGTCAAATGGCTTTTCTTCCTTTTGTTTTTGTTCATTCCATAAAGGATTTCACTTGACTCATGATTTCCCAACCAGCTCCTTCTGCAGCTTAAGAAAGCAAGAGTGAATAACTGCTCTGGGTTTTTGCTTGTTGGGTTTTTTCCTTATTACAGGAATGTGTAAACACTCTGGGTTTTTAAAGATGAGCTGCCAAACCCTGCATGTCAGAGACTCCTCCTGCTTTCAGGCAATGACTGGCATCCTGGTTGGGGAACTGGCCGGACCCTGTAGGTGAGGTCTGACCCTCACTACGTCACTGAGGACCGTGGCCTGGGAAAGGTGCCATTGGTCATGCGCAACTTCAGATCCACCTGTTAGGAGCTGAGCCATGTCCCCCCAAAATGTGTATGTTGAAGTGCTAATTTCTAGTACCTCTGAATGACCACATTTGAAGATATGGTCTTTAGAGAGGTAATTAAGTTAAAATGAAGCCATTAGGGTGGTCCCTGATCCAGTGGAATGGGAGGTGTCCTTTTAAAGGAGATTGGGACATAGAGACACACAGAAGGACAGCCATGTGAAGACAGGGGGAGAATGTGGCCCTCTGCATGCCAAGGAGATAGGCCTGAGGAGCTGGCCCTGTCCACACCTTGATCTCGGACTTCCAGCTTCTGGGACTGGGAGAGAATAAATATCTGTGCTTTAAGTTCTGGGTCTGTGGTGCTTTGTTACGCAGCCTGAACTGACTAATACACTGTCCTTCCTTCCTCTGCACGCAGGTCACAGGCCTTCCCTGCCCTCACCACACCCACGAATGGGCAGTCAGTCTGCTACTGGGCATGGCTGACAGGCCCCCATCTGCCTTGCTCCAGCCCAGGGGGATGGCGGCTCTCAGAGGCCCCACTGGGGAGGGAGTGGGGTGGGTCCCATGCAGAGAACACGGCAAGGAGGAGCTGTGTCAGTCTGGCCCTTGTTCTGGAAGGACTCACACCCCCTGGGCTCTCCCTCGGGGTTGGCTGGGGTCCAGGCGCCTGGAGGTCAGCCTGGCACACTCACCCAGAAGGGGCATTGCACGGGGCAGGAACGGATGGAAGCCAAGCACCCACGGTTGCATGCCCATGACAGAGCTAGACGTCTGGAAGAGAACGCAAGGACAGCCTCACCCTTGACCACCTCCTTGTACACCAGACGCCACCCACTGCTACAACAGGCCACAAAGGAAAGACCACACTGCAACCCGATGCTCTGCAGTCACCCTCCCTGCAGGGCCACAGAACGAGGACGCCACGGGTCTTCTGTGCCGGGTCAGACTGCGGGTGGGGGCCCCACGGACTCAGGCAGGTGCCGTGGGCCAGCTCCCGGTTGCATACATGGGCGGCCCTCACCAGAGAGACAGGCACAGATGAGGTTCTTCAACGGTTCCAGTCCCAACCTCAGAACCTTTGCAGATGTGACTCAGACAAGGTCATACTGAATTCAGTGGGCCCTGAATCCAATGGCTGGTGTCCTTAGTAGAAGAGGGGAGTTGGCCAGACGCAAAAAGAGAAGAGGACCAGGGACGCTGGGAGCCCCAGGAGCCGGATGAGGCAGGAAGGACCTTCCCTGGAGCCTCCGAGGGGGACATCCCTGCCTGGACCTCAGACTCCGGCCTCCAGGCTGGGGAGAGAATAAATTCTGTTGTTTTAAGCCCCAGTTTGTGGTAATATGTTACAGCAGCTGCAGAAACTAGTGAAAGGTGCTCTTGTGTCTTCTGCCGTGTGGGCAGGGCCGTGGCACGGGCGGGCACAGAGGCAGCGTGGGGTAGCACGAGTTTTTATTATCACAACAGGCATTAACAGTGCAGAGCGGAAGCCGGTCTCTCCCTGCCACCAGCCGGCCGGCAGTCAGATGCCTTCAAGAGGGCACTGTGCCCCAGGGAAGGAACCCTTGTCCCGTTTGCACCAAGCCCTGCCGAGTGCCACGAAGGCCCCCAGCAGCCGCGACAGAGGACCCCACCGCCAGTGCCCTGAGGTGCTCAGCCAAGCCCTGAAGCACTTCACCACCTTAGCTACGGAGCCGAGTTGTGCAGGGGTGGTATTCTGGGCCCCTGCCCCAAAGCAAGCAGTCCTAGGAACGGGCTCACAGCCCACGGTCACACTCCCCAGCCCCTCAGAAATGGACCTGGCATTCCCAGGGCTTGGCCCGAGCCTGGCCCCAACCGGCACCTCCTGCATTAGGGGCACCTCTGGAAACGGCTGCCCAAATCTCTAGTGGGATCTTTGTGGGGCAGACGTCCATTCCCCGAAGTGCATGTGGGGGAGCCAAGGGATGGCCTGACCAGAAGCGGGAAAGGGAGGCCCAGCCCTGGAGGACCTCCACACCCACATCCCGGCTTTGCTGCAGTAGCCCTGTGGCCAGGAAGCAGGAAGTGTTGACCGTCAGGGGCCAGGGAGAGCAGGCCTGGCCTCCTGTCTTCTCCAGAGTCTGTCTGGGGCAGCAAGAGGGAGGCTGATTTCACCCACTCTCGGCCTGCAGTGCAGATGGTCGAGGCTCATGGGGCACATGGGGATATTTGCAGAAGGCCACCACGGGTCTCTGGGCGCACTGCTTCCTTGGGGGGGGACCTCGAGCAGAGCCCTGGGACCCCCACCAGCTGCTCTAGGCTCCGTGCTGCAGGGGTTCAGGCTCACAGAGGTTGTTCCTAAAAGCAGGTCCTCGGGACGGGACAGCCTTGGGGGTTCCCGGGAGAGGCCCCCGGGCTCCATGTCCAGCCCAGCTTCGGGAGACCCATGCTGCTCCATCCAAGTCCCAGGAATGGGCTTCCTTGAGCGCAGACCCCAGTGTGAAATCCCCAGGGCTGCACCCAGGGGAACAGCATCTCCCACAGCCCAGGCATTTCTAGGACATTGAGCACCTCGCCTCTTCTCCGGCCTGTGCCCCTGCAGCGCCTGGTGGGTCTGCCCTTGACCCCTGCAGACCCCTCAAACTTCTTCAGTGAGGAGGGGTGCACCCCACAGCCCCGGGACTCGGGTCCCTTCCCCACCTGCCTCCCGGGGGGAAGGGGGGGCTGACTGGGCCCTGCTCACCGCTCGTGCACTCAGTCCGTGCTCCCTGTCACCCCCACCTCAGGAATGGCCTCATTCCAGGTCAGCATGGCGGAGAGCCCATGCAGCATCGTGGCAGGATGGGGCTGGGACACTGGCCACGAGATCAGGAGGATGCTGGTGAGCTGGTGCTGCCTCTCCCCATCCAGGGGACTCGGGCACACACATGCCTGCCCCAGTACCAGAGAAACAGCCATCACAACCCATGCCTGTCTTCTGGGCCACATCCCTGGTCCTCACCTGGGCCTTGAGAAGTCCCGAGCTCCCCCAGAACAACAATCAGCCACAAGCAGGGGGACACACGATGTCTGGGTCCCTTCCTCTGAGCATCCCAGATCCCTAACAAACACACTTCCCCTGCAGCAATGGAAGCGCTTCTGCCCCGAGCCCTGGGCCTGCGACCAAGGCCCACCAGCGGAGCGTGCGAGCTGACATGTGGTGAGCAGCCGTGCATGCAAGCAGATGTCCCTGTGAGTGGGTGTGTGACACGTGCATGAGGAGGACTTGTTGGGACGCGTGAGCAGCTGTTCCAGCCATGGGGACGCTGGTGCAGGCAGCGTCTGTGGGAGGACTGGGTTCGCGCCAGCCCCCGGACGGACCCAGGTGCAGGCAGCTGCGGAGGCTCACACCCGTGGCCCCGGCAGAGGTGGGCGGCCACACCCTGCACATGGTGGGGGTCTTTGGTGCGAGCTGGGGAGGGGCCAAGGCCGGGCACCGTGGGGGGCTTTCCACACCAGCAGAGCCCTTCTCTTTTCAGCAGTCTGACGCCAGCAAGAGGAGGCCTCGGGCTGTAGACAACAGCTGGGTGACGCACCTGTCTCCAAAAGGGGCCCCAAGCCAGGTTCTGTCAGGAAGGGTGCACCGGAGTCTCTGAGCGAGGCCCCCCTGTGCCGCCTGGTGTTTGACATGCATATCCGTCCCCACGCCGGAAGAAATGCGGCTTTTCTCTGCACTTTTTGGTTGACGCAGCTACAACCCCGTGGACCCCAAGGTCCGGTCTGTGTTTGGTCCGGGCACACAGTGGATGCAGAATGGATGTCGAGGCCGAGTGGACGGCTGGCACGCACAGGAAAGCCCGGCAGCCCCCCTCCCCCCGACACGGCTATGCCCTCCCTTCTCCCTTCCTGGCTCTCATTCCTGCCCAGCCCCGTCTCCCCCGATCATGACACAAATACCGGAGGAAGGCCTTGAATCTGCCCCAGTGTCCCTCAAGTGAGTCATTTCCACATGTTGGGACTGGTGATGGCCGGGGACAGCTTCTCCAGCCCTCCTGCCGCCCCTGCCCCCACTGCCCCCCGGCCGACTGGCACGTCTGGGACGCCGTCGACGGCAGCAGTGTCCCTGGGCTCCACGTCCACCCTGCACGGGGAGCAGGTGGCTCAGGATGAGGGGGCAGAAGGCGGTGCTCCCAGAGTGGGCGCCCCTCCTGGCCCGGCCGCTGACCTGCATGATCCACGCCCGGTGCCCTAACAGCTACACGCTGGGCAGCTTCGAGCATGGATGATAGGATGGTGGCCGCGCGCTGAGCCTGCCGGGCCGGTGGAGAACGCATGGGAATGCACGAGCAGCTGGCCGGAGTCCGACAGCACATTCCAAGCCTTATCTGAAGGCAAGCGGCAGATAACGGCATCCTGTGGTTCCCTGGACGCCTTCTGTCCAAGTCACAATCATGAAGAATCTTCCTCATTTTCTTTAACCACGTAAGAGGACAAAATAGAACCGCACTGCAGTTGTTTCCTGGCCTGCTCAACCCACACCCAGTTTGGACTGTGACACAAACAACACTCAGGAGGACCTGCAGAAGGAGCCCCGTGCCCTGCGGGGCCTTGAGCGCAACCACGGACCCCGCCCCTGCCAGGGCAAACGTGTCTAGTCCACCGCCAGCGTGGACACAGCATTCCGGGCAGCCATGGCCGGTCGAGCCCCAGCCGACCTGCAGGAGGAGGCCCGACACTCGTCCGTCGTGGGACCCGAATCCATGGAGGTCAGTGAGGAGAGGTGACTTACCAGATGAGGCCGGACCTGCGTCCTGGTGCCCACGGAGTGGATGGTGGTGGCAGGGAGCGGTGGCCAGGTCTGCAGACCAGCAAGCGGGCACCCTGCTGAGTGCTTGGCTACACAACAGAGCCGCTTGCTTTTCTCAGTAAGGACAATGGGCTTTGGGGGCTGTGCCCACGGTCACGCTCCTGCCCCAGGCTCTGGCCTCCACTGCTACAGAGGGTGGGGATGGAAGCCGTCTTCAGCGAAGATAAGAAAATACCAGCTTCACTTTGCAGCCCTGGGTCCTGGCCGCTCTCAGATATGGACATTTTAGAGTCTAAATGAAGTGGGGATTTGCAAACCCCAGCCCCCAACCCCAAGAGGTCAGGAGGGAGGCACTGAGCCGAGAGAGGCTTCAGCAGCAGCCTGAGAGGGAGTCTCTTCAGGGTCTGCCCCTCCCTGTGGGACCCCGTCCTCTGGCCGTCCTCTGGGTTTGCCACAGCTGTGGTTCTGCCTCCCCATGGCGGGACATCAGGGCTGTCGGATGGTGCTGCAAAGCGTCTCCCAGGTGCTCGCTGCATCGGGCCGTGCCTAGGGGGCCTGAAACCCTGGCTGAGGTCTCTGTCCTTCTGCAGAGCCCTGAGCATAGGCAGCCTTTCGTCCAGGGACATGTGGGAGTGCCGGGGAGTGGGCAGGGCAGCTCAGGAGAGCCCAGCGGAAAAGCACAATGGCTGCTGACCAAGTTCCTGTTTTATACCCTGCTCTGCAGTCCCGCTGAGCTGACATGCACTCCATCCGGACCGACCCACCATCTTCCCACACGCTTCTGAGCGACCTCCCCCAGACAGGCTGACTCGGCTGGTCCCTCCGGCACCCCAGGCCGTGACCCGAGATGTACCCTCTTCTGGGCAGGCTCCCTGTGCCCTCAGAGCAGGCGCCTCCCTGCCCCAGAGTCACGCCACCCTCTGGCTTCCGTGGACGTTGAATCCCAGCCCACGTGAATGCTTCCAGTTGCCTGTTCTCAGATCCTGGCTTCTGGGGGGAGGCGGGTCTGCAGGCTGGGCCGCAAGCTCAGGCGCTGCCTTGTGAGTCTGTCATGACCACTTGGGTTCAGAAGTGCACGGCCCTGCTAAGGCCAGTGTGCGCAAAGACAGGAAAAAGATAATTTCTTATTTCAGAAAAGCACTCACTCACATAGCACAAGTTCCCATGGAAACCACAAGTGGAAAACCCACTCACAAATGGGCCACACCCTCAAGCCGAGGCTTGAAACTGCCGAGGGTTCTCATGGTTCTGGGGCTGGGGAGGCAGCAAGAGAATGGGTGTGAACCACAGTCACACACCCCTCACCACGCGGATGAGCACGCAGGCCCCGGCTGGCTTCCCGTGTCCCGCATCCCGTCGGGAACAGTCCCCACCCCGGCCGGTGCAGAATCATCCCTCCGAGGAGGTCTTGCCTCCTGAGCATGCCGGACATCACACCGGGGGCCACCCCCCAGGCCTGCTTGCCCCTGGGGAGGAGGTGGGCCAGTCCCAGATGCAGGTGTGGGTGACCGTTTCACGGCCGGCCGAGAGAGTTCTCTATGAACTCCACCAAACACTTTCAAGTTGCATGTCACCAGGGAGTCTGCCTGCCATTTGTCTGGACACCTTCCCTCTCACGGAAACCTCCAGAACAAGGCGCTCAGGGCGTCCCCACCACGGCACACTGGTTGTGCGGCAGCCTAGGCGGCCGGTATGGTCCCCAGGACTGGAAGCCTCCCCCTGGGACGGAGGGCAGGGGTGGGACGGCGGGAGGCTGAGCAGGTTCTGGGGGTGTTAGCAGAGGTCAGGGGCACCTGCACCCCAGCCAGCCAGCTCTGCTGGCAGACCACGAGCCATGCGCACCCTGCCCCTGGCTGTCACCCATCTAAGAGGCGTGTTGGCACAGGTAGGTCACATGCTCGAGCCCGGAGGAGCACCTCCTCTGATGTCACCTGGCTGGGGCTCCAGAAGAAAAAGCATGGTGAACTTTTCTCAAGGACACATCCGCTGCATTCGGGGCAACTCTGCCATGCATGCCCGACCCGGCGGCCGAGGACAGTGTTCTCAGGGTCACTAGAAGCCACCATGGGGGCTTCTCCGCAAGGACCGATGGCACCTTCAGATGCACCTGCCCGGCCGCTTCCAGGTCTCAGCTGGAAGTGTGAAGACAGAGCTGCGGACGTCTCCTCCCTGGAGTCCCAGTTGAACCAAGAGCTCAATTCCGTCCTCAGTGAGACTTAGAGGCACTGGGAATGTGGAGGCACAGACGTGAGGAGCCTCCAAGTGGGGGCAGAGCAGGACGGGAAATGGGAGGGGCCCCAGCAAAGGGTACCTGGTGCTGCAGACCCAGGTCTCAGCCAGCATAGCCCGGGGTTCTCCAACGTGGAGCACGCCCCAGGGAAGGGCCAACCGCCTGTCATCCCTACCAGGGACCTTGTGGGGAGAGCAAGTTGGGGATGCACGGCGGATGGATAGCCACTGGGGCCCTTGGGTGCCACAGAGGCGCTGGAAAAGCATGCAGACCATTATGCAGGAAGCAGTGCACTGGTGAGGCCGGGAGAGAGGAGACCACGGCTTTACGTCACGACCATGCACACGTGTGTGTGCACATACACACGGGGTCACGCAGTCACACATGTGGTCACACGTGTACACACGCACCCACACACAGCAACATGTACTCACACGTGTGCACACAGCCACATGCGCACATGGTCGCACACATGCACATGCATGTGTGTGCAGCCACACGTGTGTACAGGCGTGTGCAGCCACACATACGGACACACATGCACACACACACACTCCTGCTCTCCTGAGCACAAACTCTGTCACACGGAGCCCCACTGTAGGAGCAGAAGAGCTCCTGCCTGCCCTGTGCCAGCCCCGGCCCCGGCCCGTCAGGAGGAACCCCTTCATGCCATGACCCCTGGCCGCCACGCCTCCCGGTCATCACGGAACAGGACACACGCTACCTAAACCACTTTCTGCTTCCTCTGCTTCCCACCCCGCTCGTGTGCCTCCGAGCTGACTTACTCCCTACGTCTGACAGGATGGGGGTCCTGGTCCCGAGGGGGACGCCGAGTCCACACACTGTTCCGTCCGTGCCCTCAGCAGACTCTCAGTTATTTCTTCTTGAGGAAAAATATTGGAAAATTGGTGAACGCATTTACACTGATTTCTCTCTTCATCCTGGTTTTGACTTTCCGGTTTTCCTTCAGTTGATTTGTTTCGGCGAGATGCAAAGAAACCCGCTTGTGTTTGAGTCTCGGAAAGACGGAACTCCTGTAAAGCGCGACCGGTGAGATGCTGGGCACGTGCTGCAGATGGCGCAGCTCTAGCCGGGACGAGGTCGGGCGTCATCGAGGGGACTGTGCCAGCCAGCCCGACCTGAGATGCGAACGCGGCTCCATGGCCCCAGCACACCAGGACCTTCTCCAAACCTTGGTGTTGTCCCTGAAAACAAAACCCGTGTGTGGTGTCTGACCCAGCAGGCCTCCCGAGGGCAGCGTGAAAACCGTTCTCTGGGTCAGTCCCAACTCCCGAAACGTTTCACAGGGGAAAAATGCTAGAAGTAAACAAAGCATGAATAACGGCTGTCCTTGGGCTTCTTTTTGCCTCTTTATCTACTTTTCTATGTTTTCCAAGTATTTTAGAGGGAGAATGTGTTACAAAAAACAGAAGTTGCAAGTTTAGAAAGTTCAGGGTCAGCCTCCAAAACAGGCCACCAACTCACAGCAGAGCAGGAGTCCAGCGGGTGCTGAGCCCCCGTCTCGGGGTCCTGACGCAACCCTAGGGGGCAGGCGCCGGGACCCCCATCTCCAGACGGGGAGGCAAGGCTCAAAGACACGCGGGCGGGTCCCAGACGGCTCACACGTGCGCTCCACGCCAGGCCACATGGTGATGCGGCCACCAGCCGGAGACCCTGAGGGAGCCAGCCCTGCCGACACCTTGATTTCGGACTTCTGCCTCCAGAGCTTTGAGAGAAGACATTTCTGCGGCTGGAAGCCCCCAGCTTGTTACGGCCACCTCAGGACAACACGTTTCCAACCCGCGTGGTCATCGAGTGAGGGGGGTTAGGGCCCCTTAGAGATGCCAATATGGAGTCTGGGCAAGAACGAGAGAGGGATGCTGTGCTCTGGGGGGGCCCCTGGGCCAGGGGAGCAAGGCAGCACCCAGGAGGGGTGGAGACCGCCCCGCGCGGCACAGCTCTGAGGCCACGGGACCCTCCCCACAGACGTGCACGCAGCCCCTGCCAGGCGCCCGGCACTGTCCCGGCCCCGGGTGTGAGGGGGACTCCCACCATTACAGACCCCGCGCTGGCAAGCAGCTTTCAGAATCACCCTTGACAAAATCTTCACCCTCATTTGAGCAGCATCTGCAGGGTGCGGGGGCTCCAAAGAGCAGGGGGTGCGGGGCGTTCTACGGCTGACGAGAATTCATTCCCAGGGCTGGAATTTCAACTTGCGACTCTGCAGTGTAATCATTCTCCAAGTATCCTTTGCTTTGAAATCCACACACAGAGGTGTGTGGAGTGTGTGTGGACTCGATGGTGGAGTGAAGGGGGTGGACATAAGGGTGTGGCTGACCGAAGAGCCCGGAGAGGGAGAAGAAACAGGACGAGGGCTGACGGGCAAGTCTGTGCCACGTGCCGCGGGTGTCCCTCTAGGGATGGTGTGCAGCGGGCACATGGGCCTGGGGGGAGGGGCCAGCCGTCTCAGCGCCCACATCCTCTCCCCAGGGGACATCACAGGAGCATGCTGGTGCACTACAACGGGCCCAGACACGGTGGCCCGCACCCGGAGATCTGCTCCCCTGCCCGGAGGCAGGAAGTCCACAATTTGGGTGTCAGTAGGGCTGGTGGCTATGGGCCATTCCCCCAGCTTCCGCGGCCTCTCCCCTTAAAGGATCCCAGCCTAGTGACCACATTGTACCCTGATCACACCTATGAAGACCCTATTTCCAAAAGAGATCCCTTCATAGGTGTGAGGGGTTAGGGGCAGAGCGTGTCTCACTGGGGGACACGGCCAGCCCACAGCCATTATCCAGACAGTTAGGCCTCCGAAGAGGTGAAAGATGTTTAGAACCCTCAGCACAGGGGCGCCTGGGTGGCTCAGTCGTTAAGCGTCTGCCTTCGGCTCAGATCATGATCCCAGGGTCCTGGGATCAAGCCCCGCATCGGGCTCCCTGCTCG